TTTGATCTACTAGTAGAAACCTTAGATGCTATCACTCCTAAGCTTTCAGACGGTCAGGTTAAAAATGCAGTTTGTTATACCTTTAGAGATACTTGCCTGAAAGTATTTCCAGAATAGAATAAAGAAACCATGACTATTGCTGACAATAGTGATGAGAAGAAAATATCTCTCCATATCTTAACTTTTGATATGAAACTTTCAAATCTTGCTAAGGTTGAAGTTTTCACTGATCTTATTCACAAGAAACTTTTAATAGGATTATAGAGGAAAGGTATAATTGATAACATCGCAAAAAAATAATCCTGTTTCTTAAGAATACTTAGAACACTAAATACAATGAATATGTTCGTGTGAAAAAACCTATTTGTCCAAAAAATGGATCTATCTTTGACTTTATGATCCACCTACCAAATGATGATTCTGAAGTCAAAGACAGTCACCTCTTAGCTGTTCTAGAACTGGAAATTAAAAGACATTCAGAGTACAATAGTGTTACAGATAATAAAACCACTAAAGCTGAATTTGAACTAGTAGAAAAATTGATTAAAGAGGTTAGTATTGAAGGATATAATCTCTCATATCCATCAGATAACTTTCCTAATAAATTTCTATTATCACATGTCTCCCCATCATACTGCCCATTATGTGATTGAGAACATGATAGTGAAAATGCATACATTATACAAAATAAAAAATCTTATAGCTTTTTCTGCTATCGTGTTAATCAAGATAGAGAGTCTAGTATGAAGCTTTTGTTAAAGCTTAAAATTAGCGAGACGGCCTTGGATTGAGAACAAAAGCTTTCAGCACCAGTAAAATTAGTTCTATCAAGAATATCAGATCCCGATGATCACTTTGTATAAGGTGATTTATTGTGTATATATACTTCAGGTAAAAGATTCTCCCACATGGATGTCTATGGAGCAATTCAAGCAATGGTCACTTGTGTTCAAAAGAAAACGAAAATATGGATTCTTAAACATAGGAATCTAAATGGTAGGCTTATGTTTAATATAAAACCCAAATTAGATCTTACAAATTTTACAATTAATATAATAAAACATGGGGGCGAGGTGATAAAATTAAAAATTTTAATCGATCATGCTCACATTAGTAATATAATACATTATGACGATGTTAATTTTCTTCCATACCCTCTAAATATCAATCTACCCAAAACTGAATTCTTTAATCTTTTCTTAGGATTTAAGATCAAACTGGTATTCCAAATTAATTATGATCTTGTAAATCTGATTATCTGGCATATAAAAAATATCTGGTATAATGGGAATAAAAAACTTTCTGAATATGTTCTGAAATGGTTTGCATTTATAGTTCAGTATCCAAATATAATTTCTGAGACTATTCTTGTTTTACGCTTTCCACCGCATTGTAGAAAAAACATTATCACTGATTTCATTTGAAAAAGCTTATTCAGCCTAGAGCTTGTTTATTCAACTTCTGATCTTGAAAAAATTCTTGGAAAATTAAACAGCCACATTCAAGAACATAAGCTCATAATTATAAATGAAACAGGAATGGTCAGTGGGAAATGGCATAAAGCAAATGACTATCTAAAGTCTTTTATAACAGTTGATTATGTTTCGATTGAGTGAAAAGGACTTGAATCTCAGGATTGTAATCATTTTGCCAGATTTATGGTTCTAAGTAATCATGATGCTCTAATTAGAATAAAAATGGGAATGATCATATTGTATAGATGTCTCCCTCACTGTAAAAATAATTTCACATATTTTGATCAATTGGGAGGGATTCTTGAGTATCCTGATACATCAGGATCATTTATGGCATATTTACTTAATCTTAATCTTTTAGAATGAAAGCCACGTAAGATTCCTCTATCAAAAATAAAAATGGACACAATACAAAATCAGCTTCCATCCTCCATTCGATTTATTATTGATCACATTATGTTATGGTCAGAGGGATGTATTAAAAAAATGATATGTGATAATTTATACCAAAAATATCTTGAATGGTACAGGACAAATGGAGAAAAGCCATTAACTAATAATGTCGCTGGGGGAAATTTTCCCATATTGGGATTGATAAAAAGTGGACACAAGTTGATGAAAAGATAAATTAAGTTTATATTCTTAACCACTCTAAGATCGTAGTCAAACTTTATGAGCACAACTTAGGTAATCTCGAAGAATTTTCTGATACACCTATCAAAGATACATCTCAAATGAATCTATCCACTAATGAATCCACAGATATACCCATATTCAATATGCCAGAAATTATTTCCCTAAAAATAATTCTGCCTTAACCAGAGCAGAATAATTGAAAGTCCCAATCGCTTCAACATCTAGAACATCTGAGACTTCTAATCTATCTGAGCCAGTAATTGATAAGATCTCTAAACATATTGAATCTAGCAATAAAAAAGTTTCTTTCATATTTCTGGCTAGACAACAGCGAGAAGAGCATCTTAGAAAATAGGCTATCGATCATATTGAAGACCTTGATAAGTTTATGACGATTACAGAAAAAGACGTTAACTTATCTCAGGAGTATCAAGACAGGATGATGGCAGACACAGAAGTCATCGAATTTGCTAGAGAAAATAAGATAAACCTGAATGATTTATTTTACATGACTAGAAGAGAAAGGTTAATAAGCGAAGAAATATATCTCTGAGAGTTTGAAGATGTGGGAAAACCCCAGAAGTATATTTACGATGATAAGGAATAGCAAAAAAATATAAGCATACTTCAGAAGAATGATATGCTTTGGTAAAGAGTGAATAAAAAGCCAGTTTATAAGAAAGGTATTTGGGTAAGAGGGAATCTCAGAGGGATCAGATCTTTATATTCTTTACATATAGGCAATATAAAATTCTAAATTATTATAATTTCATGACTATATTTTTTCCTTTTCTAACCCTCTGATAGTTTTTACCGATCATAAGGTAGAGAAATTATGGAATAATTTTTTCAAATTGAACTTTATCTCATGTAATATAATCTGAATACTACGGATTAATCTAATTACCGTCATATATTTTACATACTACTCTATGTCTGCTATTATAACCAAGTTTATTATAGACCACAAATTTACCAATGAGATGAGTTTTGAAAAGCTTAGCCAGTATGCGTCAGAAATACTTGAACTTTTGACAACTAGTGTACTAAAGGTAGATAAAGAAAAAAGGCGTTAGGCTCATGATCGTCTTCAAAAAGGATATAAGTTTAGCAAAGAATAAGCATATACATTAATTTCTTATGAGAGAGTTAGACAAAGTAAAAGCCAAGTACCCTCCAAAGAAGGGAATGGGTTAGAGATTGGAGAAGTGAATATATGTCAAGTTTCTGATAGTGTTTATTCTGAGGAGACTATTAAAGAAACGGCTTAATGTATTGTTTGGGATAATCTTAGTGAAAGAGATGTAAAAATGACATCTAGAACTTTAGTCAAAACTGCTTCTGATTTTGTCATTGCCTTATCACGTCTCTTCAGGCTTTGAAGAGAATTGCAAACCCTCAATGCTCCAGAAAAAATAATCTCTACTACCAAAATTCTGAAGATAACTAGAGTATCTAATAAAATCTAACAGGAGCATACTGAGCAACGTAAAAATGAAGAACTTTATTATCTGGACTACTTCTTGTTAGAATCAATTAAAGAATGATTAGATTTGTATGTTGTGTCTAATACAACAGATAAACAGACCCTAACTGATGTAATGATCATGCTTTGTATCCGTCCTACTGAAATTAAAAACTTGCATATAGTAAATAGGGGTGTAATTAGATATGTAAAAAATAGGAGGCACAAGATATTCCACGAGTATTTAGATCACTAGAAAAGAATGAGAAGCGGACAAGATAATTACTTATATGTATTCAGAAAGCAATTTCTTCCAGAAAGTTAAGAGATCCTGGAAAGCTTAGATCCATATATTTAAGTTCATTTCTAAAAAAAGATAAATATATTCCTAAACCTTATGAGTCACTACTTCCTAGTTCTTTGTGCAAATTAAGGACGGTGTTTACTTCTGTAATACATAGGCCTAAAAATCTGTCAAAAGCCAATATTTATGCCAGTGAAGCACTTCACCACAGTTCTGAAAACCATACTTCTCTATCTGATAGATATACTATAGTTAATTTCAGAAGGAGGAGGCAACCTTATGATCAAGCAAAACCATTTTAGATTTCTGATAAAAACTAATTATATATATAGGTTAGAGGATCAGAATATCATTTGTTAATTTTATTTTTTTACTTAAGGCAAGATATATCATATATAAAATATCGTAAAAATGGTAACTGATCAAAAGCATTCATCTAATAGTATAGCTAGTGAACAGAAAGTTATCAAATATACAAAGATATTAGCCTAGGCATTTAGACTAAACGAGTAAAATGCAGAAGTATATAATGACTTTCTGATGAAAATAGAGCATTAAAGAAACAATTAGAAGATTATCATTCCTAATATAACACTTTATAAGGAGGATAAAAAGACTAGAAAGAGATATAGAATTCTTAAAAATTGAATTGAGAGATCTAGATGAATGTGTGAATAGGAAAACTGTAGTCGACTTAATTCATGGAATAATTCTCTCACTAATTGGTAACGATCAGTGTTGACATTGGACTCATTCCAATTGACTGAATTAGACGATTTGAACAATTGAACAATTGGACATAGATTAATAGCGTACAATTGTCCAAATCGTCCAAATAGATTTTTGTTGGATTTGGACTATGTCCAATCGTCCAATTGGATAATTGGATATGCAATTAGACTTAGTCCAATTAATTGTCCAATAAAATTCAATGTAATACATAATAATCAAATAAAAAATCTTTCGCAAATTTTTAAATTTTTACAACTTTGCAATGCAATAGTTTTATTTTGCTTTAGAATTTGTGCATTTTAAAATTTAGGTATTTTCATAATAGTCATATTGGCAATAAGGTACTTCAGTACCTCTTTTTTTCATTTTTTTAATAATAAATATAGAAATGACACAGGAAAAACATAAACTTAATGGTTATTTTTTAATATTGAAAGAAAAATCCAATAAATGGAATAACTATGCTATTTGTTAGGATTGTATTCAGATTTTAAGTTTAGAAGAAGCTTCAAAACATAAATTTACAAATACCAAGCGTGCATATGCAAATTACCTTAAAAGTTGTCCTTATTGGGCCGAAAGACATACCTCAGAACAAACTAGTGCTATAATTCAAAATGCAATAGATTATGGATCAAAAAAATGAAATAAACGTCATCGATTAGTAATTGAAAAGGAAGAGGATGAAGGGGATGAAGGGGAAGGGAATAAAGGGAATGAAAGAGGTGAAAGGGATGCATTTCAATTAACTTTTCATACTTCACTACCACAATTACCTCAATCACAAAATTTAAACAACTTTTTTTATACAACACTATCTATTACATCATATAGAAGCAGTGTAAGTGATATATTATCTCAAAGTTTGATCCGCTTGATAATTATGTATATTGTGAGTTAAAACCTGAACAAATAGAAACATTTGAACAATTATTGTTAAATGTTACTGTTGCATGTGGGTTTTCTTTTTGTTGGGTTGAAAATTCGGCAGTTAAAGAACTTTTTAAATGGATTAATCCAATGTTATGTTTGTCAAGTTGAAAACAGCTTAGTGGTCGAATTCTTGAAAGAACTACCAACAAAATTTCAGAAACCATTCTTAATGATGCTAATGGTGCAAACGGCTTAGTCGCATCCAAAAATTATTGAGGATTTTAAAGTGTAAAGGAATTTTATTTAATCATATAACATTAAAAAAAAAATACGTTGTTTAATAG